GCTCCTGCATTGTGCACACATACTCACTCACTCTCTCTCTCTCTCTCTCTCTCTCTCTCTGTAGCTGGATTGCCAGAGCCCTCACAGGAAGCACGTGATCCCCAACAGGCAATCACTTTGCTTGCTGCTCCCAACCCGAAACAGCCAGCCTGGGGGAGCAAAACACCCAGACATTTGCCCTTATTTTAAAAACCCGCCCAGATGCAGCACAGGGGTCCAGAAAGGACACATCTGGGAAAACCCAGATGTATGGTAATCCTAAACCTTCATGAATTCTGGAATTTTTTTCTCAGTTGACCCCTAGAATGTGAACTTGGAAACTTCCAGGTACATTTTCCCATGCAGCCCATCATTCCTTGCAGCAAATATCACCCATAGCACAGGGGGAGGCAGCACTGCAAAAGGACTTTGGGATACCAACCTATTTCCCCCCCCCCCCCCCACCCCTCCCGTTTGTGGTGAAGAGCAGAGATTGGGTATCCCACCCTTTTCCCCCCCCCCCCCAATCCTTGCTCATTTGTGGAAAAGCAGATACAATGTGGATTGCTCTGGTTTATGCTTTTAGCTTTGTCTCTCACAATTGTCTCTTCATGTGTCCTCAGCCTGAGAGAGAGTCTCATGGGGTGTTTTGGATGGGGATTCCCTACAGAACAACAAGGGATTAAAAACAACCTTTCGTTATTTAGGGGAATTTATAAATTGTTTCTCTCAAGATTAAACAAGATTAAAATCTAAAATAGATTGAGGAAGTTGGGGCAGGACTCTTAATTTAGATGAAGATCACTGGAGATAATTTAATCACCTCTCCTCACCCCCCCCCCTCTTGAAAGGAGCATAGCAGGATGCAGGTGGCAGATCTATTTAGATTTGTGTGGTAACGTGTGGAAGTGGCATGGATCTACATTCTTTGTTGTAGGGGAAAGCAACAAAAAAGCCAATGGAGATTAAGTGAGGCAGTCTTTAAAGCAAGGCTCTTTGTTAGGTACTTGCATTGTTTGCTCATCCAGCTGCAGGGATGTAGATTCACACAGCTGGAATTGTCTGGCAAGGAGAGAATGTGTCAGCTTCTCTCCCAAACATCCAAGGAAAAGTATGTGATACCTGAAAGCATGTCTAGGTCTATCTCAACAATGTAGTTGATCCAATAAAAAATATCATCCACAAAAACCGCTTAGGCCTTGCATATTTCCAGGACCATTATGGCTACAATATCACTTCAAAACTAGGGGGCAGTGGCTTTTATGGTCAGGCCCTAAATGCACCCCTGAGAGGGCTGTATCTGGAGAACACAGGACTGGTTTATTTATCTACACTGCTAATACCCACATAACTGGTTCGAGACAGGCAACTATCTGGAAACCAGAGATATTTAAATGGTACTTTGTAAACAGCTTCATAGACAGTTTCTCATCAGTACTAGCTGCTACAGAAAATCCTGCTGCTAACACCAGTAGTATGCACCAGCAAATGTATACTGACTCACCTGTAAGGCCCTTTAAGAGGCTTGTCTGAATATAATCATGCTGGCTGGATAAAGGTGGCTGTGAGTAGCTGGTTAGGAACAAGGGCTCCAAGCAGTAATGTAATACATATGTCTCCTAATTCTGTCCCTCTCCTTTAGTTTGTTTATTAATAAAGCTAACCTGTTCCTGAAAACTGACTATGACTCCTTTACTGAACCTACAAACAATGACCCAAACTGTTCCTGAATGCAGTTATATTTATGTGAGATACATAGGTATGGACAGATCATATATGTGCACATGCATACACATGACATTTTATATTAGCACAAAACTTGAACATGTGCACCTACCACAAAATGCAGATCATGGAAAAGGTGACATGAATATGATGCAAGCACGTGTCAAATCGGCTCCACTAACAGCTAACTGTAACAGAGCAGAACTGTGGTAAGTAGGTGAACACAATTCTGTTAGTATATATGCCCTTATTAGAAATGCAAATAATAAACCCAGAAATCATGGTACTGGAATAACACAGCACAGGGCCCAATGCTGCAGGCTGGTGCATGTGCAGATAAACCTAGGGACTTTGGGTAGTGCCTATCCCACCTAAGTCAGACTGAACAGTGCCCTCACTAGGGAAGAACCAGTGGCACCTGGGCACAGCCCTCACTATCTTGAGAAGCTGGACAATGCCCATCCCCGTGCACAGTGCTCAGGGCTGGGGGTAGATTTCTGTGGAGGAAAGGATACTAACTTTTTTGTTCTGTGGCAGCTGCCCTTGATGTCTGCCCAGAGCAGGAGGGGAAGTAGTCCCAGTGCCCAGCACAGGAGGGGAGGGATTGCGTGAGGGTGAGGAAGAGTGAGGGGTAGAGAAAGGTGTGCAAAGTAAGTTTTGGAGTGAGGGAGATGAGGATGCATGGGGGAGAGTTTTGTATGTGTGTTTTAATGGTCCCAGTGAGGGTAGTGGGGAGAAGCCCCAGGAATACAATGAGGAAGCCAATTTTTCCTCTCCCCCTCCCAGCCCCATAGGCACAGCTGGGTATAATAGGCTCCACATTCCAAGCTGCTTGGTTGCTGCTCTAGCAGGTTTGCTGCTACCATGTAGGCCTCTACACCTTCTTATCCTGTACAGCCATTCATCTCTTTTTCCTTCACAGCCATTCACACCGTCTCTCTACAGTTGCACACAAACCTATTCTCCCCTCTTTCCTTTTACACCCTCACATGCCTTGTCTCATGCTGCCTTCTACTTGCTGGTGTCTTGAAAATTTCCTCCTTTGAGATGACATGGCTGAGGTCATGATGTCCAAAATGTGAAACGTCCAAAATGTGAAACATCCAAAAACAAGTGAACTTGGTTCTCTCTTGGCTGACACTTATTATCCACTATGACTCTGCAAAGGGAGTATAAAGTGTTACCAAATGAAAACAGCAGCACTTTTCACTTCTCTTGCGCTCATGTGGCACAGCTCTCCATGGGAGTGCAAGACAGTAGAGAACCAAGATGCACATTTACAAATTATCCTGCTGACACTGTAAAACCGTGTCAGGTTCTAGCACAACTAAACTCCAGCTTCTTGGCCAGGCAACCATCTCACAATCGATCCATAGCACTGGATATACCATCTGAGCATACCTGTGCATGTGCTATATTTGGTAGACATACTTGCCTCGCTAGATTCTGTAAAAATCTATTCTACACAGTGTCAGGGGCAAGGGCAACAGTCAGGCTAAGTTGCCCCCAACTAGGCCTGGTTATTGAATGGGTCTAGCTGCCATTGGCCTAACTACCCCCAGCTGGCCCCAGTGGCTTATACGGCTGCCTGCATATAAACAGCTCTTGCAGTATTCTACAACCTACTCATTTAAAAGGGTATTTTTCTGTCTTTTCAGAAAAGACAGGGGGTTTTGATACTATGTTTTTAGCTTCTTGTTTCTTATCTTCTTGAGTCTTAGTTTTTCAGTTCCCAATTCTTGACTGTTTGCTCACTGTGTTCTTTGTCCTGTTTTTTTTTTCCTCCTTTGGCCTGGTTTCCTGTTTCCTGGGTCTTGCTTGCTAACTCTTATCTCCTAGTCCTAGCTCTAGCCTTGACACCTTTAGACTCCTTTGCTGGCTCTGAGCTTGTGGCTTAGCTTGGTGATTGTCTGTACCTTAATTCTGTATAGCTCCAGTGGCTTGTTCTGGATCCTAGTTGCTTACAGGCCTCATCCTCCATACTCACCTGCTTCTGATCTCCTAGCTGTACTTGGGATCCTTGCTTCCCTGACCCTGTCTGTTCCTGATCCCCTGTGTTGTGACCCTTTAGGTCAGTGGGTCTCAACCTTATTAGATTCAAGGCATCCCTTGGAAAATGCCAGCTCTTAGCTCTTACTTGATGTATGGAGTACTTCTTTTTTCTTTTTTGTGCTTAAAAATGATGTAGTCATTCTGAATTTAATCTAACAGAAGAATTGCTCTAAGAGGTAGTTCTGAAGCATAGTTCTGACACTATGGTTCCTATTTGAAATGTCTGGGGTAATCTTAGTAATCATGTGATCTTACCAGTGCTGGTAGTGTGGCACCCTAGCTGAAAATCACTGCTCTAGAGCCAAGCCCTGACTACCTATATCCTGGTCATGTCCGTGACATAGTAGCATATCTTACAACCACAGGATCTTGAGTTTTATTCAGTTAACTTTCACAAGTTGACTTCACTGGATCTATAGACCTCCCAAGAATCCTGCATGCCACAGGAAGCCATATTTGTGTTTCATAAGTTGTTCTTTCATTCTTTCCTAGAGTCAATACTGAAATGTTGCTTAGTTTAATGCCAGCAGGCAGCATACTATTGAAGATGGCACATTGAACTTACAAGTAAAACCTAAATACATGGAGACATGCAATTTCCATGTCACTCTTACAAGGTGTGGTGTACATTGATGTCCAGATAGTACTTAATTTTGGGAAGTATCTTCTATTGAATCATCTTCTTCTAGAAAAGCTTGCATCTCCTAGAATTATTGGTGCGTGCAGTAATACTTGCAGAGATGGCTGCAGTTTAACCTTGGCTGAGGGATAGTTTTAAACGATATTTCAGAGTCTTTCAGAATTAAATGCATGGCTTGCAAGTAACAGTTAAATCTACTTTTGGTAGTAGACAAATGTGGCAAAAATGCCATTCAAGAAATACCTTTTGAAGTTTGACCTTGTTAGTGGATTTTTCTGGGCAGGAGCCTTGATATCTTCTTCCTAGGAGGGAGGAAGTAAAGGAAATAAGAGGAAAGAGCATTATCTTGACTACAAAACAACCTACAGAGGGTGATCAGAAAGCCAGGACAACTCTGCAAGAATTACTTAAGGAAACTTCCTATAAACATTTTTTTAAGAGCTGGGGCTTTGGGGAAGTGTAGCGTAAGGCACAAAGGCCTTATAGCATGGACCCTAGGCATCCTCAGGAAAGGGGAAACACTCAATCCTCCAGCAAATTCAAGGAGAGATGTACATATAGCCATACTGGGCTCCCATCCACCATTTTGCTACTGGCTGAATATTCTAGGTACTGCAAAGCAGTGGCAGCTGAAGGAATCCATAGGAAGTAAATGCTGCTTGAAATAACTCTCTTCAGGGTAACAATACCTTCTAAACTCAGTGAGGGTAAGTACTCTTCTAATGCTACCTAGTTGTTAAGATATCTTTTCAACATCTGGGGCATTTTGTTGCATTTCTTTGTATTAATATAATTTGCTGTATAATACATACAGTTCAGTGAAATAAGTAGTATAAATAGTGATATAAAATATATGCTTGTTAGTAGACTTTAGGAAGGAGCAGATCCTTATCAATTCTGACCCTGTCTTGCTATCTGATACAAATGGGTGAACCCTTATGCCCATCTAGATAGAGCTCCACTAACTTCAGTAGAGCTTTATGTGGTCCACTTGTACAGATCTGATTGCAAGGCTGGGACCTTTATGATTGTACCAGAGAAAAGGTATTAAAGGCATCTAGCCAAAATAAATAGGTAGATAATCAAGACTTACCATTCACATTTTATTTACCTGTTATTATAGATAAACAAATAAACAGCCCCTAAATAGCTTGCTGCTCTGTTTCACTGCTCTGAGTAAAGGAAATTATTCTTAAAACAACTGAAAAAGAAAACCCAGTATCACTCCATATGTCGAACAGAAGGAACAGCTATTTGTAACAATTAAGCTCCGTGAATATCTAGGGAATCCTTTTCCCCATACACATAATTTTATTGAATATGCTCTCCAGTGTTTTAGTACCACACTAAAGTTTACTTAGTTCTTCATTGTCTGCCTTCCTAGGCATGTTTCACATCAATGATCTGTGTGAAATGGGAACAAAAACAGTTAATAAATATAAAATGTTTTCATTTAGGACTTTTATGTAGCGGGGACAAAATAGGTCTTTGTGTTCATGTCCAGAGACATTTGATTGATATTTTCTACATTTATTTGGAAAGATCCACTGTGCTCAAGACCAGGAATCTAGACTTTGTATTGTTGGGAAGGAGAGCTGGATGAGATTCCAGTTCCTGATCTTTGGCTTCCTGGGATCAACAGAAACAGGATATTTTGTGCAGAAGAAGCCCCAAGGAAAGGATGCAATAGCTGAGTAATTGAGCTAAGACTTTTTGTTAACATTACAAAATTATGCTACCTCAGTAATGCAAATCTGCCATAAATCCACCTTAATTGCCCAGTTAAAGAGGCTTGTGGTTGCCTGGGTCATTGGAGAAGTGTAAAGCAGCCAGCGATTGTCAGGATTCTGGCCCAGGTTCTTTTTTAAAACAAATTATTTTTTTGAAAATATTTCCTGTTAACATGACTGAAGAGGAAACAATTGTTTTCTCCATATCCCTGTTAGCCAGGAGTGGGAGTCTCTTGCAGGACAGTGAACACACCAACAAAATGCAGAAGATCTATTTAGTGCCTAATCTCTAGTTTTGCCAAACTGCATTGGTTACTTTTAGGCCTTTATCCAGTTTGGGATTAATTGCTGAGACTTTCTGACATTTCTTTGGGAAGACCATTCAATCTTGCATAAAACCATGAAGAAGGTCAGCCTAAATTTATCTTTGCTTAATTTCATCCTATTCCTCCTTGTCTACAGCCTTCAAATAACAAAGATGATCTTACTTGTACATAACACCTTTCACACAGGCTAGAAAGATGAGACGGAAAGAAACACACTGGGTAAGTGCCAGACATAACCATTTGTTTACTTTATTTGCATTCCTTCCCAGCACTTCTGTTATCTTATTTACATATTTTCAGGAAGCTCTTTTATGATGTGGGATGCTTTTTTTTTTTTTTTTTTTTGTGCAAAGGTCTGTAAAGCACCAAGCACACCTTTGGTATAACTGAAGTAGATAAAGAAAATAAATTAGTTGTACTTTTAAAAAGGGATTTCTCATGAAGAAGGGCTTAATGCAGTGACTTCTTTAAGCAGGGTACCACAAGATCCTTCTAAGTGTAATGCAATATCAGCAGTGGTAGGTGTGCAAACACCTACATGTGATTCACAAGAGGTTTGAAACCCAGAGGTTTCACATAAAAAGCCATAGCATCAAAACCATTCTGACCTGTTGTGGTCTCTTTGTATTCAGTGCAATGTGGGACTTGCTCTAGTATTTTTCCGTAGTCTAGAAACCAGTGAAGGCTAAGAATTGGCATTTTCTAAGGGGATATCTTGAGTCTAAGGAGGTTGAGAACCACTGGCTTAAGGACTTTTTCTCTTTTGCACTACTTGTGTAAAGAGCCGTACAGAGCTGTGTTCCCAGCACTCAGGGGGAAACAAAAGCTGTTCTATGTGCCTTCTCCCCTGGCAGCACAGTTCACAAAGTAGGGAGCTTGGACTTCTGATTTGATTTAAGACTAACATGATTCTACTAGTAGTGAACTTGTAAACCTAGGAGCTCTAGGACCCTACCTGAAACATAGCTAGTTCTCTTCATCATGAAGGCTGCATGCCCCCAGAGGCTGGGAGGGCACAGTGACTGCCCACAGGTGTTGGTGGTGGTTTTAGCAGCGGGGAGCTCCTGCAGGCGGTTGCAGCGGTGTTGGGGAGGAGGAGGGGGGATGACTACCTGCAGATGCTGCTGGCAGCATCAGTGGCGGCCAGCGGCGATTGAGGACTCCCCGCAGATGCTGCCAGCAGTGCTGGTGGCAAGGGGACAGGACGGATGAGTGGTGAATGCCCGCAGGCACCTCTGGCAGTGTCAGTGGTGCTTTTTGCAGGGGGTGCACTGCCAAGCTCAGGGGTCTCCATCCATGATCACATCAGATTCACAAGGCTGATTTGATGCAAAGCTTTTGGGGAAGGCTAGTGATATGGTTAGTCGGGATTCATGTATCTGACTTATTTTACATGGGGAGAAGGAGATCTTTAGGGTCCCTATCACCTTCAGCTACATAAGCAGAGTTCAGCTGCTTGTTCTTTTCTAGTCCAACAATCAGTTTAATTCAGTTTTAGTAGTTTGTTTTCAAGCTGATCCCAATACAGCAGAGCTAAAAACATACTTTAAAATTTGACTTGATCTTCTCCTTCATTGGGCCTTCACTGTTAAGGGACTGACACAAATAACTTTCAGTTCCTTGGTGGATTTAGATACTAAACTTCAGACAGCCAAGGTTGAAAACTGGACACTGAATGTGAAATACCTCTGCTGAATCTCCAAATGTTGAAATACTGGCAACAATTTTCTGCAAATTATTTTCACTGATTTATTTTTTTCTCTTTAGGTTTTCATCAATCTGTTTATGATAAGGTTATGTCTTGCACTTCCAGAACTATTTTTCTCAAAGAGCTAATTCTTACAATAACTCTATGAGGCAGGTAAGGAAAATGCAGAGAATCTCAGGGACCTCTGGAAGAGATTATCTCAACTGTTTAACAGTACATGGTAGCACTACATGGGGCAAAAATACTAGGGTGGGGAAGATGGGGGCGGTGGAATAGTACATTCAATTACCTGCAGGAGAAATTTTAGAAAGGTTGAATGTATTTGCTTGCATTAGAATTTGGCCAGGACCATAGTTCGTGTCCCTGCTCTCTACAGAAAAATACTGCAAGATCTTTAATTATCACTGGTAGCCAGGAGTTTGCTTTTGCATTTTATCCAGAAGACAGTGTATTGTCAGCATTCCTTTGATGTTTATGTTTAACTGCAGGCACGGCAAATAATTCTGGGAGGAAGGAGTAGATCCTGATGATGCTGGGTCACAGCTCTTTCC